TTTTCAATTTTCGCTTTTTGTTTAATTTTTTGGATTTTGTTTTTAGATTTTTTAAAATGCTTTTCAAAACCAGATTTCATCCAGTTCTAATAGGTGAAATTTCGATCATCGAAAACATTAATTTTTAGCATTATTTCAGCAGTTAGGCCCGAAAATATGTCACAACTTTATCATTGCCGTTTCATAAACTTAATATATCACGTCCAAAACCTCTCTCGCACACGCACGCGCACGCGCACACGCACACACCACACACACACCACACACACACCACCACCACACACACACCACACACCACACACCGCACACCGCACACCGCACACCGCACACCGCACACCACACACCGGCGAACGTGCATTTAGAAATGAACATGTAACATAGAACATATAGAATATATTTTGACGGTTTTGCTATGTTATAAAAGCAATGGTCAATGCTTAGTTGTACGTTTATCCAGTTCTCGATGCAATTGGGAGGTTGCTTAAGCACTCAAGTAGCTATAGTAATAATAATGATGATGATGATGATGATGATGATGAATGATGATGATGATGATAATAAGACGAATATTTATGCAGGATATAGACCCTTCAACAATATTGCTGTTATCAATGGGGGTCCTGCTAAAAATAACATAAAGAAACTAAGTTAAAAACTAAAAAGATGGCCTTTAAAAAATTAAAAATATAAATTAAATTACATATATTACTGATTCATTTATAGTGTTCATCTAAACGTTTTTTAAAACCCTTAAAATTTTTAGTCCTTCTTATATCTATTGGAAGTTCATTATATATTTTGGCAGCCATGAAGTAGAATCCTTTTCGAGCATATTCTGTCTTAAGACTTGGAAGTTTAATACTAAGACAGTTGTTTCTTGTGTTCTGTGTATGTTGTTGGATCGTGAAGTAATTCTTGAAAGGGTTACACATTTCACCATAGTTAATAGAGGGGAATGGTTAGGAAACCCTATTGTTATAGGTCTTTGTTCACTTTTTTCAAGCGTGACCGTGCACAATCCTTTGTTTTACTATTGTTTTACCATTATTAGAAATGGCTGAGTGAACAGACCAAAATCTTTCTTTTGATTGCTAGTTCAAAATACTTAAAGATTTGTAAGAGACATTTGAATATTCTTTAATAACAATCCCATAGGCAAAGTTTGTTTACTTATTTTTCAATTTCGCCGGGACGAGCATAAATCAAACATTGTGCACGGTCAAGACTGGTTCAACATCAAAAGTGAACAAAGACCTAATAACAATAGGTTTCCTAACCATTCCCCTTTATCAACTATGATTTCACCGTCCAGAGGGTTCTTCACTAGGACACAAGCCCGTTTCTTATTGGCTGTCATAGGGGTGAAGTGAGGTACAGAACGTACACTATCATTTCTTTTAGATACTGCTTTTTGGGCTCGATCGTGAAAGTTGTCAAGTCTTGAGTGTCTTGTCAAAGCTTAAGTGATAGAATACCACAATAGGATAAAGTTGGCAGGATCATAGAAATATAAATGGCTTTGGATGCTTTCTCATCAAGATAAGACCTCAGTTTCCTTAATAAACGCAGTCTATCAGTAGCACGTTTAAAGGATTTTTCAAAGTGCGAGTTAAGGTTCAGCGAAGCAACAATTAAAACACCAAGGTACTTATATTCATTTGTAGTATTTATAGTTGTGTATTTATATCCAACTTCTATATTCCCGTCAGACCTTTTGATGCGTTGTGCAGTTCCGAATAACAATGCCTCAGTTTTTCCTTTGTTAAGATTCAGAATCAGGTCATTCTCATCAAGCCATTCACTAATAAACTTCATGTCATCAGTAAGTTTCCTGTTAATTTCCTCAATATCCTTGTCAGTAATGTAAATGACAGTTTCATCAGCATACTTGATGATTTTAGAATTTACAATGGTGTCAGTGATGTCATTGAAGAACATTAAGAACAGCAGCGGTCCCAAAATCGATCCTTGTGGCACGCCGGAATTTATACTTAATACTTCTGATAAATGGTTGTTATATACAATATTAGCTTTTCGATTGAAGAGTTAGTCCTCAAATCATTTCAGTTCTTTTACATTTATTCCATACTGAGGTAGTTTGCCCAGTAACTTGGAATGCTGTTTACGTCAAACGCCTTGGTAAGGTCGAGGAAAACAGCTCCAACAAGAAGCCCACTGTCAACAAATTTCCTAATCATCATCAGGCTACGCTTTGTACACTCCTCGTGCGACTCTTATACTTATTTGGATGTGCTTGTCAGCCTCCCGCTTGTATCCAGAACTGGATATACGCACAACTAAGCATTGACTACTCCTTAATTATTAGCGCCCACTAGGGGTCGCATTAAAGGTGTTGGCTTGGTAGGAAAATTACTCATAATATGACGCTTTCATTCATTAAGATATCAAGTTTCCTTACAATGGCGAACAATTTTTCCTGTGGGAAGCTCACGGACTGGGTCAACCATTCCAATACCTATCTAGAAAGGTCATCACCGATACTTTTAGTGGTCTTTGCAATGCTGATTCCACCGGCAGCCATCCTAAACGCGCTCGTCCTCGTAGTTATATGGAGACGCCGTATTTTACAAACGACATCGAACCTTTTCTTACGAAACCTTGCTCTGTCGGACCTGGCCGTTGCAATCTGGGTATTACCTTTATTGATGACGTGTAGTGCAGTTAATATCAGTCACATAAGTGAACGTATAATTTGCAATGTCGCAAACGTTGCTAGCGTGAGCTCTCATATATTTGGTTCTGTTTCGTTTCTTACCATGACAGCCGCTACAGTTGATCGGTACCTTGCTCTGTATCTACATCTGAGATACACAGCTGTAGTCACCAGGAAACGAGTCATCTACTCATGTATAGGACTGTGGCTAATATCTATAGTGACGAGCATTATTCTACCGGTAAGTTTTGCACTATACAAGACTGTTGTAGTTTTGTTTTTTTCTGGTAGCATGATGACCATAATGTTCTGCTACTACAAGATGTATCGCATACTTAAGTACCACCATGCCCAGATACAGATTCAAATGGCTGGCCAACCAGTTGCAGCTCTTCCAAACATGAACAAGTACAAATCATCAGTCATGAACCTTGTGTACATTTTCCTGTTGTATATCGTGTTGTATGTTCCCTATATATTTGGGTGTATGATGCCTATGGAAAACATGAAACAAAAACATGAAGCTATGATAACAATGATGGTTGGATTGGTTCTTATTTTTCTGAACTCTACTCTCAATCCCCTGTTGTATTGCTGGAGACAGATGGAGATTCGAAACGCTATTAAAGATACAGTGGGCTGGCGACCTGCTATGTGCATGACCTCTGAATCAATACGTAGCCTCCGAACCTACCCACCAATAACATCAAAGGCATCATCCAACACACTATCATCACCATCAACCATCAATAACATCAACAACATCATCCAAGACACCAACATCACCCATCAATAACATCAACAGCATCACCCAATACACCACCATCACCATCACCACCACCATCACCCCCCAATAACATCAAAGGCATCACCCAATACACCACCATCACCCCCCAATAACATCAACAGCATCACCTAATACACCACCATCACCCCCCAATAACATCAAAGGCATCACCCAATACACCACCCCCACCACCATCACCCCCCAATAACATCAAAGGCATCACCCAATACAC